TTTATATTTTCTTTTATTTCTTTTTTCAGAATTACATCCCTATCTTGTAGGTTTTTCCATATTTTCACAACATATCCTAGTTAATTTTCCTGATTTTTTCAATAATTGTCTTTGTTGACATATATATGCAAGTCTTTCAAACAAGAATTTTATTCTTGATCCTAGTGTTCTAGGTATTCCTATATTTTCTTTAATATATTTTTCAAATTCTATTTTAAAATATGTTCTCCATGATCCTGGTAATTTATTATAATACATATTTTGATATACTTCTTGATTCTCATTACTATAAAATTGAGTATAATAGTAATTCTTGAATTCACAAGTATACTCTTTAATTTTACACATATCACAAATTGTTAAATTAATTAACTTAACTCATGCATTATCTTTCTCTCGTATTGCTTCTTCTTCATAATTTCTTAACCAATTTTCTCCTAAGAATTCATCTGAAATATATTCTACTAATCTTTCTATTCCTAGTTTATTTGACTTTATTATTTCTGTTTGTACATTTCTTTTTATTAATAATTTTGTATCACTACTAATTCCTTCCCACCAATTTCTAACATTTCCTTCAAAAGATGCAATTAAAAAATCTATTCTCCTTTCAGTATTCTCCCATGTATCATCTTTATTATATAAAAAGAATAATATCATTGAGTCTGCCCAAGTTATCAAGGCTTTCTTAGTATCTATTTTACAATCTAAGTCTAATTTTGTTCCTCCATGGTTAACAGGTTTATCATAATTATTATTTAATTCAAATCTATTGCTATATTTATTTCCTTTGGACGGTTGTTTATCTCTTATTTTATCATAAAATTGTCTATATGGTTTATTATACATTGGAGCATAGCTTTTATCTGGATATATTGATTCTTGTTTAAAGGTTCCTACTGGATTAGGTCCTCCTCCAGTATTCATTAAGATTTGGTATTCATCATCTATACTTTCTAAACTTAAATGATCAAAATTATCTATAAGTAGATCAATTCTTCATTCATCTTCTTTGTCTTGATTTTCTTCAATTTTTTGTTTACCTAATATTTTCTCCTAGATTCCTCTTCTTCTATTATTTTAGGTAATATATTTTTCCTAAACTCATCATCCATGCTTCCTGTTTCTATTATTATATTTTTCCTTTCAATATGTTTTTTCCCTATTCTGGTTATTTCTTTTTCTATAAATTTTTTATCTACTCTATTATTCTTTTCTTCATTTTCTTTTAATTTTCTGACTTCAAGTTTTAATATATTTATATCATTCCTGGCTTCTTTTATTTCATTCTTAATTTCTTGTACATCATTAATTAATGTTCTTATTAAATGTTTTAATTCTTCCATATGTTCACTAATTGACATTTTATCTATTTTTTGATTGACAATAATAAAATATTATACACTCAGCGTTTTTACAATCTTTTATCATTTATCATATTTTTGTTTTATAATTTCAAGATTTGTTAACTCTTTTAATTTTTCATAATACCTTACTTTTTCTTTATACCTTTCTTGTTTTAACTTTAATATCTGTTTTTCTTGAGTTTTATTCATTTCTCCAGGTATGAATAATTCATCTAAAATTTTATTATTTATTAATCTTATTCTTTCTAACTTCCTATCTAAAATATTTTTAGTTTTTTCCATTATATTTTTATGATGATTCATATATTTTCTTCTGGTATAATTCATTTTCAAATATTTCGCAAATTATTTCATATGTACGTTTATCTTTGATAAATCCTACAATTAATCTATGTAATATTTGTTCCTTTATTTCTCTAGGTAAATTCCTAGTTATATATAATGTTATTATTTTTAATTTATTAGGGATGGGGTTGTAAAATATGTAACATCCTTTTTCTTCAATACATTGATAATAATTATTTATTTTTATGATTTCCATAAAGTAATTTCAAATTATTATGAAATCTATTACCCTTTGGATTACTTTTAATATATATATATGCTTATATTCTTCAAATAATATCTTTTTAATTATTTTCTCTTTTAATTCTAAGGGTAGATTTTTAATTACTCTAAAAATTTCTAATATTTCTTTTATATCTTTACTGTATGTTCCAACTATATTATCTTCTTCTATATAACCTTCTATGTCAGAACTATATTTTACTTGGTATCTTAGTCTATTTTTATAAGTTTCAATAATTTCTAAAATCATAATCTTTTAGGTAATTTTATTTTTTTATATATTTTCTCATGATCTCTCTGGCTCTGATACCAATTGTACGGGTGCTACTATGAGCAAACAAAAATCTAATAATCTAAAAATCTAATAATCAAAATATCTAAGATTCTAAAAACTCTTTTATTTTTGCTATATAAAATCTTAAGATAAAAACTAATTTTTTGTATGCTTGTAAAAATTTATTTTTTATTAGTCTTCTTATAAATTTTTAAGTAATTCTTCAAAGTCTAGTAATGTTTGAGAATTTATAATATCAATATCTGTTATCATATCTATGTCTGTTCTAAAAGGTATATCATATTTTGAGATACTTTTCTTTTCTTTTTTTCCAATTTATCTATTATATCTTGTATATCTTTTATGATTATTGACCTTACAATTCCTTTAGCGAAATTTTCTAATAAGTTTTCTTTAAAACATTTTAATATTTCTTGTGATGCATATAATTGTTCTTGATATCCTATCTTATCAATTTCTTTTTCAATCTTAATTTCTTTTTTATTTTTAACAACCTTTTTTATATTATATGGTCCTCTTTTATATTTGGGTTTTTCTATTTTATAATTATTCATTAATAATTCTCACAAATTTTTAGAAAAATTACTTGTTAGATTTTTTAAGGACTTAGATAGAAGATTTTTATTATGTAAGGGGTTATTTTTAATATTTGATTAAGGATATTTTGGGTAGTTCAAAATGTTTAGAAAAGTCAAAGGCTATTTTGGAAAATTCTTCCTTTATTTAGGTCAATTTGAGGTATTTCCCCAAATTTGTTTTAATAACCAGGGTCAAAGTTAAAAATAATGAGGTCACGTTTTGGTTATTGAAAAATGCCTTCTTTTGTATATACTGAACACAATAAACAACCTGCTTAGCAATTTTGAAAAGTGAGGATTTTTTCTTTGTTGGAGTTTGGAGCGCATACAAGCTCACGGTAATTATCTTGGACTGTCGATTCAAAAACAGATTCAGTTCACCATTGCAGAATTCTAGTGTTCAATTTCTATAGATTTTCCCATTGTATTATGGGAGACAGACACTCACAGAATCCTCGCGTAAGAGAGTGAATCTGTTTTAAAGACATTAGTACTGCGAATGCCCTTTCCATGCTCTCTTTAGATGCCAGGAGGTGGAAAAGGCCTGGAAAATCGGCAATTTCTCAGACTGGAATTCAAAAAACCTATTGTTGTAGAACTCTTTCTCCTTGCTTAATGTTGTCTCTTTGCTTTCCAGCCAATTCTAGTAACCAAATTACCACAATTAATGGATTTCATCAAGAAGAAAATTGCAGTTGTAGATAAATGGGAATGGGATAAGCGTAAAACATTAATCTTTAATGGAAAACCAAAAATTCCGTAATCTTGGTTCTGATATCACATGTAAGCAATTAATTTCTAATGCCAAGATTTTTAACATTCATGATTTTCACATATAAATTTAATTGATCAAGAAACATACTGTTAGATTTTGCGTTGGCTAATCTGTGAACAAAAGAGTAAAATTTTAAATGTTCAAAAGTTTGGGGTCAATTTGTCAATGTTTAAATGTTAGGGGTCAATTTGTACATGTGTAAAAGATGAGGGACTAAGTTGCCATTTTGTCAAAGTAGGTTAGGGTTCGAGCTATGAAGTAGGGCAAGATGTATCGTTGAAATTTCGCTAGCTGCTCGCCAAGTGGTCGCTTGAGCGACAAAAACAGAAAGGTCGTTGCTCGCTTCTCACCCTCACTTGTCGCTCATTTTTCGCTCGAGGGACGGTGTTACTTAGAAAATTCTATTTTCCTTTTTTTGACATTTTGGCCAGACCCAAATGTCCCAATACACTTCATATAAATTAAATTGCGCTAATTTTCATACATCTCTCTTAAGGATTGGAATTAAAGAAAAACTCTCTACACTTGATTCATTCATTCAATCTCACATTTGATTCGCGTAATCACCTAAAAACATCAAATCTACATTCATCAAACACAACAACACAACCTTCCAGTGCTTTTGTTGATTCTCGGAGATCAAGGAAGGAGATCGGAGTCCCGATTGTTAGAGAACGGGCGATTCTCTTGAATCCACAGGAGATAGACGAAATCAAGAGCCAAGAATTGGTGTAGCACACAATCCAGGAGGGCTAGGAGCCAGGAGTTGGTGTAGAATCACGCATTCCAGGAAGGCTTTGAGGAAATTACAGTTTGCAGGTCAGAAAAACTAGTGTGGGTTGAGTCTGGCAGATTGTAAATTGTATTTTCATTGATAGTGGATTCCTACTGGCTTGGGCTCGGAGTTTTACCCACCTTAGGGTTTCTCTGTCAACAAACAATTGCGTTATTTACTTTTCTGCTATTAATTTATTGCCGCTATTCAAACATAGGATAGCAAAGCATGTGAACTGATCTAGACAAATTAATATTTGTGACGTGTTGCAATTATTAATTGATTGAAAAAGAAAATTCCGCATAAACACCTATTCACCCCCTCTAGGTATTGATTGGGTCGAATTACGATATTTCAAGTGGTATCAGAGCCAAATCTCGAGTCCTGACCCATAGTTATCTAGATGAGTCAATCACTATCTATGCCTTCGTATTTTGACGAAAGCAACTATACCTATTGGAAGGTTAGAATGCGTGCTTTTCTTAAGTTCCTAGATGAACGTGTCTGAGCGAGTGTACAAAATGGTTGAAAACCTCCTTTCACAACTGTTTCTAGTATTGTAACCCCAACTGACATTTCCCTTTGGACTAAGGATGAATTCGCTAATTGCAATTGGAATAGTAAAGGTCTCCATGCATTATTTATGTCTGCGTCTCCTGAAGAGTTTAGGAGAGTGTCAATGTACAAAATTGCTAAAGATGTATGGGACATTCTAGAGACAACGCATGAGGGAACTAGAACTGTGAAAAATTCTAAGTTGCAAATGTTGGCCTCAAGGTTTGAAGAAATTAAGATGAAGGATGATGAGTCTTTTGATCAGTTCTATGCCAAATTGAATGACATTGTTAACTCTAGTTTCAACCTAGGTGAGAGGATTCTCGAGTCCAAATTTGTGAGGAAGGTTCTTAGGTCTTTGCCTGAGAGATTTAGACCTAAAGTCACAGTTATTGAAGAAAGTAAGGACCTGGACACAGTTAAGATAGAAGAACTCGTAAGATCCCTTCAAACCTATGAACTCACCATTTCACAACCGAGGAAAAAGAAGTCCATAGCCTTGAACACCGTTAGGGAAGAGGAGTTTAAGTCATCTGACGTGGAAACTCTTAGAGATGAGGAGATTGCCTACTTTGTAAAAAAATTTCAGAAAGCCTTAAAGGGCAAGAAATGGCCCCAAGACAAAAAGAGAGGAGCCCCTAGTAAATTCCTAAGAAAGAAGAATGATAAATCAACTGCTCGGAATCCTGGTAAGAAATCTCAAGTGGTTAGGTGTCATGAGTGTGAGAGATTTGAGCACTATAGGAATGAGTGTCCTAGCTTTAAGAAAAATCTAAAGAAGGGAAGGAGCAAGACATTAGCTGTGTCCTTGACTGATGACGATTCTAACTCAAGTGATCAAAGTGATTCCTTAAGCAGTGGAGAGGAAAAGGGCTATATGGCTTTTGTATCTACTGTCAAGAGTGAGTCAAATAAGGAGAGTGAGAAGGTTGAGGAGGAGGTAGAGAGTAACAAGTCCCGTGATGATTCTGAGGATGAGACGGATATACATGAGGCTTATCAACTTCTGTTTAAGGAAAGTCTCAAGATCAAAAAGGTAAATAAAGCCCTATTTAAGAAGGTAGACGAGCTTGAGAGAGAGAATGAGAAAATCACTAATGATCTTCAAGTCTCATCTAAAAATCTCAGTGAGTTGAAGTGTATCAATGAGAAATTAGAAGACAGGGTTAAGACACTAACTAATGAGTTAGAGAAATCTAGTACTCAACTGCAGTCGTTTATGAGTGGAACAAAGAAACTAGACGATCTATTAGGAATGAACAAACCAGCTGGAAATAGGCAAGGTCTAGAATTTGTGAAGAGTGATGGCAATGTGTCTAGTTCATCCAAGACCACATTTGTCCCCGCTTCCAACAGGTCTAATGTTTCAACCAATCCAGAATCCAAAGGCAAGGATGTTACTTAACTGAAGGCCGCTAGAGCCCGTAAGATTTCTACACCTAAATTTCAGGATCAACACTCGCGTGCATCTGAACCTAGGTTCATACCCACTTGTCATCACTGCGATGCTTTAGGTCACACGAGACCTAGGTGTCGAAAGCTAGTAAATAGGAATAGAAGTCAGGATATCCCTAGTCAAGTAAACTTCCTTTCAAATCAGGTTAGTCACTTAACTGAGATGGTAACAAGGTTGACTAGGATCACCTCGACCTCTAGCAAATTTTAGGTAAAGAAATCTGATGTGAGTGAGTACGATGAGAATCTAAAATGTCTTGTTGCTCATGTAGCGTATAAGGCTCAAAATACATGCATGTGGTATCTTGATAGTGCTTGTTCTAGACACGTGTGGTAACAAGGCCTTATTTTCTACCTTTGATGACTGCAACGGTAGTGTAGTTACCTTTGGGGATGGAGCTACAGAACCCATTCGAGGTAAAGGCTCCATCACCATTTCTTGAACTTTTTACAATATCTAATGTGCTTTATGTAGAGGGTCTTAAGTCTAACTTGTTGAGCATTAGTCAAATCTGTGATGCGAGCTATGGAGTGAGTTTTGTCCAAAAGAGATGCACTGCTTATGACCCTTCAGGTAGTGTTGTTCTTAAAGGTGTTAGAACATCTGATAACTATTATGGAGTTCTCCCAAACTCGAACTATGTGTGCAGTAGTGATAAAATTGATATGTCTGAACTTTGGTATCAAAGGCTCGATCATGTTAATTACAGAAGTCTGTCTAAATTGGTCAAAAACCTAAAATTGATCAAAGTGAAAATGATGTGTGCAGCCGTGTCAACAAGGAAAGCAACTCAAGATAAACCATAAGCAAACCTCGAAAATCTTGACAAATAGACCCTATGAGCTTCTCCATATGGGTTTAATGGGACCATCTAGAGTGGAGAGCCTAGGAGGCAAACTGTATATTCTGGTTGTGGTAGATGACTTTTCCAAATATACCTGGATTGAACTATTAAGAGAAAAATCTGAGATAGGTAATCTGGTTAAGTCCTTATATAAAAGACTCAAAATTGAACAAAATCTTTCCATTTCTAGGGTTCAAAGTGATCGTGGGAAAGAATTTGAAAACTTCAATCTTGAAAACTTCTATTTGGATGAGGGGATTACGCATGAGTTCTCCTCATTAATCACTCCACAGCAAAATGGAGTTGTTGAGAGAAAGAATAAAGTGCTTCAAGAAATGGCTAGGGCCATGCTTCACGGCAAGGATCTAGCAATGCATTTCTGGGGTGAAGCCATTAACACCGCTTTCCACATAGTAAATAGGGTATACCTGAGATCGAAAATAGATAAGACTCTTTATGAGATCTGGAAAGGTAAGAAGCCTACTGTTAAATACTTTCGCGTGTTTGGCAGCAAGTGTTACATTCCGAGGGATAGAGAAAATCTAGGCAAGTTTGATTCCAAAAGTGATGATGGGGTTTTTCTAGGATATTCTAAGAACAGTAGAGCCTACCGAGTTTACAACTTGCATACTCAGAGTATCATGAAATCTGTAAATGTTGTTGTTGATGATGCCTTCACCGAGGGTGAGAGTGCTCAAAATGGGCTAGATATAGAAGATCTAAGTGATGATCAAGGAGCCACTGCTAAAAATAAAGAGCAATCAATTCCAAAATCTCCATGCTCCTTTAAAGGTATAGACATCTCTGATCAGGGTCTACAAAATTTTGATCAATCTAAGCTTCCTAGAGAACCATCTTTCAAGGTCAAATCTAATCATCCTAAGGTTAACATCATTGGAGATTTAGATGAAGGTATAAGGTTAAGAAAGAGAGTTCTAAATAACCTAACATATACTAGCTATGTATCCCAGATTAAACCTAAGAAAGTAGAGGGAGCCCTTAGAGATGAATGTTGGGTGAATGACATGCATGAGGAGCTTAATCAATTTGTTCGAAATAATGTTTGGTATCTAATTCCTAGGCCTAATGATTGTAATGTGATAGATACTAAGTGGATTTTCAAGAACAAAACTGATGACCAAGGTACCATAACTAGAAATAAGGCTAGACTAGTTGCCCAGGGGTACATTCCGGTTGAAGGGGTAGATTTTGATGAGACGTTTGCCCCTGTTGCTCCTCTTGAGTCCATTCGCATTCTTCTTACGGTTGCTTGTATCTTAGGGTTCAAGTTATATCAAATGGATGTCAATAGTGCATTCTTAAATGGAATACTGCAAGTAGAGGCGTATGTTGAACAACGGAAATGATTCATTGACCCTAAGTTTCCCTATTATGTCTACAAACTCAATAAAGCACTGTATAGTCTAAAACAAGCTTCTAGAGCTTGGTATGATAGACTCACCACTTACCTAGTTGAGAATGGGTTTTCACGAGGTGGTGCTGATAAAACTTTATTCATTAGACATATTGAAGAAACTATAACTATAGCACAAATCTATGTCGATAACATCATCTTTGGCTCTCCCATTGACTCCTTTGCTCTTGAATTTGCTAAATGCATGAAATAATAATTTGAAATGAGTATGGTTGGAGAGCTAAGTTACTTCCTTGGTCTTCAAGTAAAGCAAACTGATTGTGGGCTGTTTATCTCTCAATCAAAATATGCCAAAGACCTTGTAAAGAGATTTGGCTTGGACAGTAAGAAACATACAAGGACACCCATGAGCACAAGTGTTAAGTTAGGACATGACCCTACAGGAAAGAGTGTTGATCAGACTGTGTATAGGAGTATGATAGGGAGTCTACTATACCTTACAACCAGTAGATCTGACATAGCATTCAGTGTTGGAGTATGTGCTAGATTTCAAGCTGATCCTAAGGAGTCCCATCTAAGTGCAGTGAGGTGTATCATTAGATATGTCAATGGGACAGTAAATCATGGGATCTTGTATTCCAGAGAGTCCAATCTTGAACTAGCCGGCTATTCTGATGCTGATTGGCCCGAAAATGCCGACGATAGAAAGAGTAACTCGGGTGGATGTTTCTATATTGGTTCTAATCTTGTCTCATGGATAAGTAAGAAACAAAACGCAGTCTCCTTGTCCACAGCCGAGGCAGAATACATTGCAGCTCGTAGCTGTTGCACTCAACTGCTTTAAATGAAGCAAATGCTGAGTGACTGTGGGATAAATCAAGGTATTATGACTGTTTTCTGTGACAATATCAGTGCTATTAACATATCAAAAAATCCTGTTCAGCATTCTAGAACCAAACATATTGACATTCGTCATCACTTTATTTGAGAGTTAGTTGAGTCCAATGTGGTGTTACTTGAACATATCTCTACTGAAAATCAACTTGTCGATCTGTTCACTAAACCTCTAGATGGGTTGAGGTTCGAGTCACTTAGGAAGGATGTTGGCATATGTGTTCCTCCTTGATCATCTTCATAGATGCATACATGTTTAGTTTATTTCTGTAATTCATTTCTGCATTCATGGCATTGCTTGTTTGTTTTCACTTGCATCTGTCTTTCATTTTGGTTTTTAAAATAAATAAATAAATAAATAAATAAATAAATAAATAAATAAATATATATATATATATATATATATATATATATATATATTTTTTTTTTTTTTTTTTTTTTTTTTTTTTTTTTTGAATTGTTTACTATATATTTATATTTTTTTTTTTTTTTTTTTTTTTTTTTTTTGAGACTGGTTATCACGTGTCGTTTTTGCATTGTAGTTGTTCACTCGGACTTGCAATGTGAGATCAAATATGCATTCAATACATGATTAGTTTCTAATTCCCATCACTTATATTGAGTTTGTGTGGAGTACTTAGTATGTGTTACTTCATATTCTATCTGCACAGCACACACTACGACCGTGTGAATGAGTCTTGACCGCATGTGTGAGACTTGGGATGGCTATCATTTGTCATTTCCATCACTTATATGTTTGCTACTGTTGCACTTCCCTTGCATCGTTCTACGTGCATGTAGATGTTTGAGCATTGGATCACGAACATTCATGCATTCCCATTTCTTAGCAATCTATGGGTCTTGATGTCCATTCCACATATCCTTTTTCAGATGGCACCTAAGAGGGCTCGCACTACAGCGCCGCCAGCTAGTGGTTCAACATTGTTTAGTCGGTTAAAGTTTATTTCTTCTACTGCACAGGAAGCGTTTGGGAGTCAGTTTTCACTGCACCCTATCTTAGTTGAGCGTGAGGTCACCCTATCTGACTCACCGCCTGATTTAGCTGCCATTTTCACCTTACGGGGTTAGGAATCTTTACTGATAGGTTTAAATCCCCATCCTAGTCTCCTTGTTTAGGAGTTCTATGCAAACATTCATGACATTAGTGGGTCGTCCTTTAAGGTGTTCCTTCGAGGTCAGACAATTAGGATTTCACTAGATGTTATGTCCAGTTTCATACATGTTCCCCGGGTCATTCATCCCGTTTACCCATATCTCTCAGCCGATTCTATTCTGACTGACTCTCTTATTCGGTCCACCCTGTTTAATAGTCCATTGGGAGGTGGGCCTAAGGCGATCCGCACTGGTTCGCTCCCCACCGATCGACAAATTTTATTGTGCATTGTGTGCACAAATCTGTGCACAATCTCTCACACTTCTTCCCTACCTATGGAGAATGTAAGATTTCTCTATGCTCTGCTAGATGGGGATTCGATTGACCTACCCACTTTCATTTGTCAGCACATTCTGCGTACTTTTCGATTTCCCGGTCATCCGATTAGTCTTCCCTATGCTTGCTTGATCCACCGCTTGGTAACATCACTTGGGGCTTCATTTCCCGATGGGGTGTCACGACGAGCTCTTCGTCCCATGGGGCACACTACCATCTTTCATAGTAGGTCACATGTCACCTCTTCTGCTTTTACGTCTGCTCCTGCTAAGCCAGCTGAGCATTTCGACCCGACAGTGCCCCCTAATTCTTTAGGTGATTTACTCGCTGATCTCTACACTATTCCTCCACCTCCTTCAGATGTTCCTTCATCCACTTCTGATATTCCCTCTTTTCCACTTCTATTCCACCACTCGTCCCGCCTGCTCCCGCTACTGCTCCTATTGATCCCACTGTCTCGCTTATGGGTCAGATATCGATTCTCATTGAGCAGCAGGCCCGCGTGATGGCCGACATTACTCAATTACGAGCTGTTTTCGAGCGTCATATGCGGAGTTTGCTACATTGCGGGGGGCTATTGCTCTTGTTCAGCGCGATATTCGGTGGATGCACGAGCACTGGGATTATGAGTTTGAGGCTGATGATTTTGAGGACGTGGATGATGGAGATGATGGTCATGCTTAGTTGCTTAGAGTTCCCCTTACCATTTGTGACAAAAAAGGGGGAAGTAGCATTGGAAATTGTAATGATTGATACTGCAATTTTGTTATTGTAATGATTGATACTGTAATTTTGCTATCTTTGCTAGATTAAGTTTTGATGTTTTTGCAATATCGATATATGTTTTTGATGATTTGACTTACATTGATATTGTATCTTAATCTAGCATATTGGTACAATATTATGGCTATTCATGATTGTTTGTCTTTATTATGATAACTTATATTACTGTTTCTCATGCTTTTACACTGGGTATGTGAGTTGTGATTTCATGAAATATGTCGAAAGAAGACAAGGCAATAGTCAGTTGAGTCAGTGTGTTGGGCTGTCATTGTAGTTCATGCTATTGTAATTTGGTTTTGTCACAGAATACCAAAGGGGGGAGTTTGTTAGATTTTGTGTTGGCTATTTTGTGAACAAAAGGGTAAAATTGTAAATGTTCAAAAGTTTGGGGTCAGTTTGTCAATGTTTAAAGGTTAAGGGTCAATTTGTACATGTGTAAAAGATGAGGGACTAAGTTGTA